ATTTAATGAGACAGGCTAGTGATACTGGTTTTATTTTAAATAAGGGGAAATAAATGATATTTGCTGTTTTACTACAGAATTGTCTACGTTAACTGGAGCCAATGTGAGAGATAATAGTTCTGGGCCACTGTTCCTGCTTCTCTGTTGCAGAAGTGACGGCCACAGCTTCTGAACGTTACAGTTTAATTTAAGCAATGCGAGTCTCGTTGGTGTGGGGAGGGAAGACTTGCTGACAGTATGTCATTTTTTCATTATGCTATGGAGAGTAATTATAGGTTGCTACACACATTTACAAACTAGTCATGTGGTTTAAAAAGAGAGAGAAAGAATTAGGCCCATGCAAAATTATGTTTTTTAAATTCAAAATCAATAAAAAATATAATGTGACACGTTGGACCTTTCCTACGGTTCGGTGCACTGAACATGTAAAGTGTATTCAAGTGTGGAAACCATATACCTTTCACTACATTATCCTAAAGCTGTCATTTATTTCATTTTGGTATAAAAGTAATTGTTCTGAGCATAATAGTATACATTTCCTGTACCTGGCACCAGCACTCCAATTACAATCGACTTCAGTTCAGATTAATCATGCCAAGATGGCAATTCCATTACACTGAGAATAAAATTTAATCATCTAATATATGGCTGGAGTTCCAGTGGCTAAAAGTATATGTTTAACTACTTTAAGAATTTTATTAAGATTAAAGTTAAACGTAATGCATCTTAAACAGACCTTTAGTGGAAAATACTCATTATAAAATATGGCTGAGCAGAGGTAATGCTTCTTCCAGCCTTCACTTGAGAGGTGTCTAATAATGAGAAGGATGTTTAATTATGGATGCAAAATGTCTGGATTTAATTTTAACTTTGTTGTGTTATTTAACATTGGTCATAATACAATATTCCATGTAGGGTTATGCTAAATGACAAAATAGAGTGCATGGAAGAGCAGATATTATTTAGGTAAAGTAATACATACTTGGTTTTCAACATTTAACTTAAGAGGATATGTAAGGAGTAACTGGCTCCAATTACATAGTGTCTTAGCCTGGACGTTAGTGGATTAAAGACTTAATATTGGTCTAAAATGAACTGCTTTCTCCCTCTTCGGCAGCAAGAAGGCCTGTCAGGCCCGGTATTGGCAGGAGAGGAAGGAAAAGAAAAGTGGCACGGCGACCTTTAGCCACTGCTTTCCTCCCAAGCTCTGCAGTGGTCAGGCATTCTTTCTTAAAGCCTTTTCTCAGAGAAGTAGAAAAAGGTGCTGTGGTAACTTTATGGTACAGAAACAAGCTGTGTTTTGCGTATTGTCCTCTGAAGTACGAAATGTGTTACCCAATGGATGAACCATTCTTTTCTGTGAAAAATTTGTGCCTAATGGTGTTACAAATTGATGGCCTTGATAAAACTGAGCAGAAATGAGACCGTGATCAGGTGAGGCAAAGACCTGGTATCCATCTGATCGCAGGAAAGAGAAAGGAAACGCTAATCAACTTCCTTTGCCCTCACATATATCCCACTCACTTTTATTTTTTGCGAGTGGCTATATCGCAAAGCTGAGCGGTAAGGAGTGCGAAAGCTGCCCAGGCTTCTACCTCAAATCCATGTCATCATCAGCTGGGCCTTGTCACACTTGTCCTCTTGGGAAAGAGGAAGTCAGATTTTGGAGAATAGCGTAGGCACTGCCCTTTCATTTTCTTACTTCAAGATGGACAAGCATTTAGGGAGCAGTCCTGTTCTGAGAAGCACTTTGAAACGGATGGAAAGCCGACAAGCTGACAGCCCAGAGCCTCACTTCACGCTTAGCAAGAGGGCTGCGCTTAGTTCAGAACCTAGGAAAGCCACAACCAGCGAGACACGGCCTCCTTTACCCCGATCGGCCCCAAGAGCAAAACAACTTGTGGTTTTCAAACTTACGAGGGCTCTTCTGACACAGCAGCTCCTTCTTCTAGCTCTTGAGCTTGTTTGTACCATGGCGCCCTGGCCTCTACTGGAACTTTCTCTGAGAATTAAATGTATGAACATAAAAGAGATGAGGTTAGAACCCCCACTAGCTCTTGAGTTTGCATTACCCACAAGCTATGTTGATAATTGCAAATAATGTTTTTAGGTAAATTTCTGCCTCTGATGATGATTATATCCAGAAAAAAAGAATGTGATTTTAACATGTTTAATAATACTGTGTATGTTTTCCATTATGTTGA